AACTGCCAGAGGCCTTAAAGTGAGTATCATGCCAAGCAAATGCGCGTCTGGCAAATTGAAGAATAACTCTTCGACATATAAGTACGGAGTCACAACTCTGACACCATGTACGTCAGGACCATATTGGAGTACGCAGCAGCACTAGTATGGAACCGACACCTGGTCAAACACATCAAGAAACTGGAGAAAGTGCAGAGGTTTACAGCAAGACTAGTCCCGGAGCTGAGGAATATGTCGTATGAGGAGAGGTTAGGGAACTCAACCTGATCACACTAGAGAAGAAGAGGACTAAGGGTGATATGATAACGACGTACAAAATACTGAGATGAATCGGCACAGTGAATAGACACAGAATGTTTCAGAAACGGGAAATAGGAACAAGAGCGCATAACTGTAGGTTAAAAACTCAGATGTGCCATGGAGATGTTAGGAAACATTTCTTCAGCCTTAGAGTTGTCAGGAAGTGGAACAATCTGGAGAGTGAAGTAGTGGAGGCAGGATCTATACAAAGCTTTAAAAAGAGGTACGACCATGCTCTTGAAGCCGGGAGAGAGTGGACCTAGTAGCAACCAGCGAAGGAGCGGGGCCAGGAGCTGGTGAGTACACAAACACATGCACACACGGTCATCTGGTTTATCGAGTGGCTGTTTTTTTTACAGGCTTGTCTGGTGGCTACTTTTCAGGTCGCAACTATGTTGGCCTCTAGCTCTTGGAAGTTACATGATGATGATGATGGTCATTATAATGGTTATGATGACGATGATGATGGTCATTATAATGGTTATGATGATGATGATGAAGACATTAATTTATCCATTACAGCAAGGCGTTGCCTTGAACACTCGCTACATCACTCATCCACTCACTGATCTCACGCTAATACCTGCACGGACTGTCATACGCACTGAACAGAGGAGGCAATATGAAGTTAAATTCCTGATGTTCGTACAGCGGCTGAATCAAGACGATCAGTTAAAAGCGAGGTAAATCACAAAATAGTAGTGGTAGATGTAAAGAGTGCTGATAGTCACAGCAGAGCTGGTGGTAACCAGAAGCAGAACTACTGGTACTTACAGCTCTGTGTCAGTAAACACGAATAGGAAAATAGTACTGTACTAACTTAGTAGAGGTAGTTGTAGCCCACGTCTTCCATCCCTCGTGCTTATTTCATGCTATTTTTCAATGTACTCTGGTATATTCCCCTCCCTTCCCTTGTTTCTCACGCCGGCAGTGACCGGAGAGAGGGGAATGTATTTAATAGAGAAAGCCTTTTGGTTTTCCATCCTAGTATCACACATATAGCTAATACACGATGGTCCTTAATAGGACCATCGTGTATTAGCACTTCTCAGCAGACAGCCTCTATGTGGACTCGCAAGTCTGCTTTCTGTCTTTCCCATTGTAAAATTTCGTAGTGGTTTGATAAAATATATTTTCTTGTCATTGTTGCCACAGGTTATGGTATATCGCTCTTATATAACACATATGTTACGTGTCCCAGGAACTGCGAGACCTGGATTCAGGTCAGGTTAACGAGACAGTCCTTTCAATTTGTCAGACGATGAAGGAGAGCTTCCGTCTGTATCTGTCAACACGGAGACAAATCTTCACACACACACACACACACACACACACACACACACACACACACACACACACACACACACACACACATACACACACACACATCCACACTCACACACACCGTCTTTCTTGCTTATTCTCTCTCTCTTTCATTAAGGAGGGACGGGTTGAGTACATTATCCTGGAGTACACTCAATATTCCTACACAGCATACACATGAGCGGTTAAATACTTTTATCTAGATAAAAAAAATCAAACTAATTCGTAATAGTTCATGTAATGAGACTAGGGTTTCAAAATTTGGTGATGTTCTGAAATCCTATCGAGTAGAGCAAAGTGTCATTGTTTACAAGGTGTCAGAGGCCACGCCCTCCACGTGACCTTTCTGTTTACAGTCTGACATTTTCCCAACCACAGGTGGTGTTCGCTATGTTCCCCAACCGCACATGGTTGGGAAATATAGAGAATACCATGTGTGGTATTCATTTCTCAACTATAAGTGGCATTCGCGAGTCGTTATATTTCTATTCCTTGCATTTCCTCCCTCATACTGATATTATGTCATTATTACTGAGAATTGATTTTGCCTATTGTAATTTATTTTTACTTTATTATTATTATTATTATTATTATTATTATTATTATTATTATTATTATTAGTAGTAGTAGTAGTAGTAGTAGTAGTAGTAGTAGTAGTAGTAGCAGTAGTAATAGTAGTAGTAGTAGTAGTAGTAGTAGTAGTAGTAGTAGTAATAGTAATAACAGTAGTAACAGTAGCAGTAGTCGTACTGGTAGTAGTAATAGTAATAACAGTAGTAACAGTAGCAGTAGTCTACTGGTAGTATTAATAGTAGTGCGGTGGTCGGTAGCAGTAGAGTAGTAGCAGTAACGGTAGTAGCTGTAATTACAGAAGTAGTATAATGTTAGAGCAGAAAGAGAGAGAAAGAGAGGAGGAGAGAGAGAGTAGAGAGAGAGAGAGAGAAGAGAGAGAGAAGTAAGAGAGAAGATAGAGGAGAGAGAGAGAGAGAGAGAGAGAGAGATTATAATATGAATTAGTAAGTCTTCATGGGTCCTTCACCAAAGAACAGGAGACTCTAAGTGAGTGTATCCTCTGTCCTCCGGCTTCTCTCCGTAGTTGTCCGTCCTCCGTCCGACAGTCGCAACCAGAGCTTGTCACCATACATCACAAAGCCCTTTATTTAAACCGAGCCATATTATTAGCTATTAGAGTCACAAGAACAATTAATGCGTCTTATCTGACTACTTCAACATTTATATTAAAAAGCAGTTTGCAAAAATTATTTTACCAAAGGTGTGTGAGGTGTTACGCTCCATGGGCCGGAAGGCACCGGATATCTGGTCAGCAGAGGAAAGAACACAAGAAAGGAGGAACACTGCAATAGGCCTACTGGCCCATACTTGGTAAGTCCTTCTCAAATACATCTCACAACCTGTTGTTTATATAGTGGTAGAAGTTCTAAATTTAACTAACATGTAGAGCAATATACACTTAACAAGACAATACAGGTAATGAGTCACTGCAAATATAATTCAGGACAGCTGTGGCGGCCATTTTTCCAAAATGGCACCTATGAAATGCAACCAATGAGCATGAACACTTCTCTTTATAAATCACACATAGATGTGCATTTAAATCTAACCTGTTTTGTAATACTTTACACAGCCCTTCTTGCTTTTGTATAACCGAGCTCATAGTAGGTGCGGTGTCTGTCGTAACCTCGTCCAGCATGACTCGTCAATCTTGGTGTAGCCTCAGCTGGTTAGGAAAAGCAGTTCACTTGCCTGTATCAGTGTTTGACCCAACACATGGCCTCCCTGCTATCCTGCCCACCTGATATGCACCTCCAGAGTTGCCCTTGATGGGAGAATCAACTGCATATTGTTTCTCTTCGAAAAGATTCTATTTCGGGTCTTGTCAATGTCGGTCCATGTGCTGGTTCTGTCGTAGAGCAGAATAACGAACCTCTCAATAGTATGAATGACATCTCCATGTTTGTCACTTGAGGGAAATTTCTGTAGTGCCTTGTCAATTCTGGCAGTACAACCCAAACTGTCCAGGACGTTATCTTACCGTATCCAGCAAAAAATAGGAAATTCTGTCACACCCTATCAGATCGTGAAACACTGGCAGTACTCGTGCCTTCTCAGGTCCCAGGCCATCTCGTGGGATGCCAAGTACCGAAAATTCTTGCTAGTTCCAAATCCTTACCAGAGTTCACCTTCTTGGTCACTGACACAGCCAACACAGCATCAACTATGTTGGGCGACTGTGTTGGGCAACAAAGAATACAATCAATAGTTCAGGTCCATACCTAATGTAGCTTCTAGCATTCTACACAAGACTGAGTGGAGTATTTCATGTGCTTACTCAATGAAGCTCTTGTAGTCGACTGTTTTCAATATCTTCACAATGATGGCACTATCAGTAATTATGCTGATATTGACAGGAACCTCTCCTGTGTCTTCAGACACCTTTTTCAAGGATTTCAGGATATTATTTATTGTACACGGTCAGAGGTTTACTTCATCTGAGAGGGTGGGAAGCCATGCCTCATTCTCAAGACAAGAGAACTGTTCGAGGTTACCAATAAATAGACGTGAAAAAGTGGCACATCATTCTTTTGAGAAACCAGCTTCTTTTTCTTTCCTAGGTTGGAATTCCTCTGGAACGACATCGTCAATGGACTTGGTTCTTTCTGCAATACATTCTTTGGCGAAAGTTTCGAACTGTTGTTCTCTTCACATTCTGCAACGCCTCAACTGCACCAGGAACTGTAATATGTTTTGTGTCTTTCCAGAACTTTTATTTTCCAGAAAAGCTGCGCAGATCCATACTTGTTTGTCAATTTAAAATATTGCAGCTTCACGGACATCATCTGTCCCAGCAGGCTGCTCACAAGAGCTACAAGCCTTTTTTCATCAAATACAGGGGTTAACTTCCCTGTATTTGATGAAAGTGAATGTAACCCAGCACGTTTGCAGGAAACTGGTATATCATTGTCTACACCTCCCGTCCGGAGTCTTCGCTTTTCAGCTGTCTGCAGTTTAATATACTTGTACCTGAGCATGCATGTAGAGTGATTATTGAGTATGGTTTGCAACCATGGATGTTTCATTGTTTTGAGCTTCAAGTCTTTCCAACTGGAGTATTCTTGGGGACTTGTAAATATATTGACTACCTACAATTACATGATGGCTTATTGGGTGCAAAATAAAGGTGTCAGAATAACCGAACTACGAAAGCAAACTATGAAGATAATTCTTGCCCATCGTTAAAGTTGCTGTAAATACTCATACTCTCTCTCTCTCTCGCTCGCTCTCTCTCTCTCTCTCTCTCTCTCTCTCTCTCTCTCTCTCTCTCTCTCTCTCTCTCTCTCTCTCTCTCTCTCTTTCACCTGCTGCGTGACGGTGTGACGTTGCGGCTGTAGAAGTAACCATGACAGATTCCCAGAAGTCTCTCTACCGCCATGGCAGACACAGTGAAGTGAGTCAGCAGACTGAAGAGTACCATCGTGAAGCCGTGGTAGTTACACATCGATTTCTGCGGGAGGAACAAGAATTGCCAGAGTCAGTAAACAGTTATTTATAGCTCCTGAAGAGGACAACAGAGATGCCAAGATCAATTAGACGATAGGATATCGCTCCTGAAGGGAACATCGGAGAGACCAGTGTAAACAGACGTTCAGATATCGCAGCTAAAGGTTAGTAAGTACAGGTGAGAGGGAAGAGCGCCTAGCAACGCGAAAAGTTAGAGTAAAAAATAAGTTAAAGTAGCCTCTTAATCACTTTGAGAAACCTGAGAAGAGACTCTTCAGTAAGACTTAACATCTTACAGGTAAGATATGAACGCAGTAGCTCATAGAAGAAAAATAATCAAGAAAAGGAGTGAGAGTTTTATACAGGAATGCACAATAAAAACAGATAGCTAGTTGCAGAGAACTGTTTTTTATCTACATTAAAGATTATCGTATATTATCTAGGTGCATAAATCAAGGATAGAAAAGCAGCAATCAGGCCAGAGGCAAGAATCTGAGATAATGGTAGAATTACCGACAAAATGTTGGGGTAAATGGACACACTGCAACTATTATGACATATTATTGTGGCAACGTTTCGCTCTCCAGCAGCTCTGTCAAGCCGTTATCTTGTCAAAGCTCCTGGAGAGCGAAACGTTGTCACAATAAAATGTCACAGTAGTTGCATCTGTGGCAATTTACCTAACAAATATCTGAGAGACACGACAACTAGAGGATATGAGACTTACGACTTTCAGGAAAAAAACAGAAACAAAGCAGATAAAATCAAGTGGGCAGAGATTAGAGAGGGAACGTAGTTTCAAGTTGAAAGTTCTCTTGATGCGATCAAGAGCATTGGAGACAAGAGCAATGTAGGTGCGAGAGCCAGAGAGAATGGGCTCCGCTTTTTAGAGGTAATCCTCGCGATAGCAGTTTTGTAGCAAATTTAAGAGCGATCATGGCAAGCCGATAGCGACGAGGAAGGTGGCGATTCTTATAAAAAAAGAATCTCTCAAGGGTAGGGATAAGAGCATCACGATTGGCAGACATATCAAGGACAGTGCGAGTGAGATTGGCCAAAGAGGTCAAGAGAGCTCATGAAGTCACTGCTATTACATGGGCCGGGTTAAGTGGCGGAGGAAGCTAAGAAAGGACAGAAGAATGACCAGTAATGCAATAGTTGGGGAGCATTTAAATCAATGGCTGTTTGAGATCTGACAGTGAAGTCTGTTCAGTAATGTAGTAGAGGACCTACCCCTCCCACAAAGTGACCAGCAGCGTAGGAGATGATGGCTGGAGGTGTGGTGAGCATTTTGCCCACGAAGTCGGTCCAGATGAGAGTGCAGAGGAAGACGTAGAAGACAGTGCGGGCGTTGTGCCGCCTGCTGCTGCTGAAGTACAGGTAACACAGAGCGCACACCTGTCCTGTGAGAGAAAGGGAGGGGAAAAAGAGACACATTGATAACAGCCCAGGTAGAGTGTTACATGTGTCACTGAGCACACCTGTCTTGTGACGGGGGGGGGGATGACAGAACCTTAATAACACAACCTAGGTGAGGTGTTATACCTGCTACTCCACCAGTGGTTTAGAAACACACGTGAACATTAGGACATATTTATTAGAAAACGTTTCGGTCCTGGGACCTTGAAGTGATCAAGGTCCCAGGACCGAAACGTTTTCTAGTAAACATGTCCAGTGTTTGTTCATGTATCTTTCTAAAAAAAATTGTCGGTATCTATTACCAAAGTTTCTACCACTCAACCAGTATAACCTAACAAACCCGAAGTGGAATAAATACACCTTTCGGTGTATATACCTTGATCTGCCTCGGTGTATATACCTTGTATATACCGGTGGGCTTCACTGCTCCTGTATTCTTATGTTTTAGTAGGCCAATAAGAGTCGACATGGACGCTGCAGCAGACAAAATATTACAGACTATAAGAGGAGTCTTTGTACATTGCAGCCTCGCGCTGAAACACAAAAGTGATTCCACTGTAGTCTGCCGAACGAAAATCTGTAAGGTTAACTGTGTTGTCGCTGCGATACATGACAGAGAACGGCACACGCTGACGGAGAAAACATTGAAAAGACTACAGTAAATAATTGCTGGCTGTGCTGGGACTTAAGGGAAAGTTGTGATGAGGATATTTACATTTCTACATTCCTTACGAGTTTAGCGCTTGGTTATGATTATGATATAATATATTTCTACGTTAAGAAAAAAATATTTTTATAAATATTGGTGAAATGAGAAGAATGTAATAATTATTTTTTGAAGATGAGAGAGAGAGAGAGAGAGAGAGAGAGAGAGAGAGAGAGAGAGAGAGAGAGAGAGAGAGAGAGAGAGAGAGAGAGAGAGAGAGAGAGAGAGAGAGAGAGAGAGAGAGAGAGAGAGAGAGAAAATCACCCACCTGTTACCCCGGTGACGCTGAGAAGTATGGGAGAGAGTATGGTAGCTCCTGGGTTGGGGTTGATGGTGGTGCAGTTAGCACCTGCTTCACAGGTGTTGGTAAAGTCTGTGCTATTGTAGACATCATCATCGCCCTTACATTTAGGGGCCACAAGGGAGAGATTGATGAGATTCATGGTCTCCGGGACCGAGGTGGAGCTGGAGACCATGGACTGCTGGGACCTGGGACCTTGGACCTGGGACCTGGGACCTATCACGAATCGGATTCGCAAGTTCTCTTGATATTTTCCAGGTGTTAAAATACTGTTGGCGCTATCTGGAGAAATTTATAGAACTAGAGATTTCTACTGTGCTCTAGCATTTTAAACTGCGATATGTCACTTTCATAGTGTGCTCCATCATCGTATATTATAAGACAAAATTTAACACTGTGCTCCAGCGGTTTATATTGTGCTCTAGCGTTTGCTCTTCTGGTCTGGTATTTTTTATTGCCTCTAGCATTATACTACAGTAACGAGCATTTTCTAATGAACTTCGAGTCTCCCTTGATTTCTGACACCTGTGGTTATAGTCTATGGGAGACCCAGAAACTCCGTTTTCTCCTTAGGTTTTGGTAGTTCTGAGATGGTCTTTGTCTTCAGTATTTGCGAGAACTGTTCTACATCCTGTGTTATCAGAAGCTACTGGCTAGTGCTACGTTCCTAGGTTTCCGTTGCGATTGTGTGTATCCTAGAAATGGGTGTTGCTAGACTGTCTTCCAAGTTTCTGGATTTCCCTCCTGAAGACGTGTATCCTAGAAAGAAAATTCTTGCATTATACGCATATATATATATATATATATATATATATATATATATATATATATATTATATATATATTATATATATATATATATATATATATATATATATATATATATATATATATATATATATATATATATATATATAATCTTAAAACCATAAGAACAATAATAATAATAATTATTATTATTATTATTATTATTATTATTATTATTATTCATAATATGTTGTGTACTAATCATTACCATTAACAAATATGCAGAATATTTATATTGGTTGAAAACGGTAATGTTGAACCTGGAACCATAAACAAATAACAACATTTACACATGTGCACACAAACAGGTGTGTGCATGTGTGGATGTATAGCAGACATGTGTAAGTATGTAAGTAGCAACTATTAGCATGGCGGAGGCACTGGTTAGAGGGTCGGGGCACGTGTTAGAGAGACGTGCTAGAGAGGCAAGGAACTTGCTAGGGAGGCAAGGCACGTGTTAGGGAGGCAAGGCACGTGCTAGGGAGGCAAGGCAAGTGTTTAGTGAGGCAAGGAACGTGCTAGGGAGGCAAGACACATGCTAGGGAGGCATGACACGTGCTAGGGAGGCAAGGCAAGTGTTTAGGGAGGCAAAGCACTTGTTAGGGAGGCAAGACACGTGCTAGGGAGGCAAGTGCCACACTTGCTAGGGAGGCAAGACACGTGCTAGGGAGGCAAGGCAAGTTTTCGAGAGTTATTGAAGGTGATAGAGGCTTAAGACATGTATTAAAGTGTCCAGGCATGTGTTAGAGAGTCAAGATGTGTGTTAGTGGGTCAAACCATGTATTAGAAGGTCATGGCACGTGTTAGAGGGTCAAAACACACGTTAAAAGGTCACGGCACATCTTAAAAAACCAAGGCACATGCCAGAGAGCATAGGCACGTGTTAGAAGGCCAAGGCACGTGTTAGAAGGCCAAGGCACGTGTTAGAAGGCCAAGGCACGTGTTAGAGGACCAAAACACGTGTTAGAAAACCAAAGCATCTGTTAGAGAACCACAATATATTAAATACACAAACAGCGTTCCTGATTACATTGTTGACAGGTGAGAGACTCAACTCCAGATTCAGTTCGAGGTATAAACACAAGAGTCTTGAGAGTGACAGAGAGAGAGAGAGAGAGAGAGAGAGAGAGAGAGAGAGATAGACAGAGACAGAGTGAGATGATCTCTAGGTCACCATGATGGTAATGGCGGAGCAGTAGTAAGTATGAATGGGAGAGTGTTGGTACCCAGGGAAGTTGATATCCTTGGGGGAAAATCTGACTCCAAACTGACCATGAAGAACCACGTTGTAAATCTTGCAAACAAGGCAGCCAGGAAAGTTACAGCACTTCGCCGTATCTCGCATTTGCTCGACAGTAGGAGTTGCAAGATTCTGTACGAGGAACAAGTACGTTCACATCTTGAGTATGCTCCATTTTCTTGATTTGCCTGCCCCCCATCTCATCTTGGGGCTGCTTGACAGGGTAGAGAACAGAGCAAGACGCCTCATCTCTCGCCTGGACCCATCCTGGATAGAGCTGTCAGGAGGGATGTGGGTGGCCTTACTGTTATGTACAAGGCCAACACTCTCAGAGTACCACACTTGGCTCCACTTCGAAGACAGCGAGAAGCAAGTTTCTATACCACAAGACGGACAGAAAGCAGCAACTTCACTCTGGCTGTACCCTTCTCCAGAAGATCACTTCATCTGATATCAATTCTTCCCAGGATGACTCGGGTCTGGAACACGTTCGTACAGCATTATGATGTCAACGAGACAAAGTCAGTTGATCAAATGAAAATGCTGGCCCACAGATGGCTCCAACTTCATCCTGTTCCCTACTTGTATGTTTCATAACAATAAAAATGCTTTCAAATGAGCTGATGTAGGTAACAGCTCTTAGCTTGTCAATAAAGTTAGGGATTCTTAACTTGTCAATAGCTTGTCAATAAAGTTAGGAATCCTTAACTTGTCAATAAACTTAAGGATCCTTAACCTATCCTTGTCAAACCCTGTGTAAAAAAAACCAAAGAGTGAAAGAATGTGTGTGTGTGTGTGTGTGTGTGTGTGTGTGTGGAGAGAAGAGAGAGAGAGAGAGAGAGAGAAGAGGAGGAGGAGGAGAGAGAGAGGAGAGAGGAGAGAGAGAGAGAGAGGGGAAAAGAGGGGAGAAAAGAGAGAGAGAGAGAGAGAGAGAAAGAATGGGGTACAGAGAACATAAATATGGCTCTAAGATCGCACCCGTGATCGTGACGACCATGTTAAACTTGGCCACCATGACCTCACCAGACCTCGTCGTCAAGGTCACTCTGATGAGCCAACTAAATACCAAAGACCACCATCTGCAAATTAAAAGTAAATATTACTCGGTGATAAACACACACACAGATGTGTAAGCCTCAGTGAACTGCGCTGAGAGAACCCAGTGCAATAAAGGAGAGGGGAGGGGGAAGACGTGGCTCCGATGATCAGTAAATATAACACCTCGACCCCCTCTATTCCCTACTCTTATTTCCAACTTTTCAACATCTTGCACTTAACATTTCCTAGATCCTCGCCCAGGATTCGAAGTCACGCTCTATCCATTTAAGACCCCAAAATATGACAGGGCGAAATAGGGAAGGTCTAGAGAAAGTACAGAAAACTTTCACCATCAATATGAAGTCAAGCAATTAAATTATTGGGAACGCCTGAGAGGTCCCCTCGGACAGTACTCCCCGGAAAGCAGGCGAGAAAATGCATCATAATCTATACCTGGAGCGATAAAAGATAAGCAAATAGAGTTCAGTACCTGAAAGAAAACAAGTTCCAAGACTGAAGCAGGTTGAAGATTTCACGTTTTTTTCTTGTTTTTCGGTGTATAAAAATATTTCTCTATTTAAAACTTAGATGAAAATGTCATTAAAATTCTGAAGATAAGCATTTTTATTCCAAAGAATCGCTTTTTATTCAAATTTAACTTATTTTTTGTGGCAAAATTTAAATTTCCTAAAAAGATGGAAAAAAACACGAATATCCTCACTTGGCAGACTAAACATGCATCTCAGTCTTGTCTTTGTCTCTCATATGCCTTCCTTTCTCACTGTCAAGTGCTCGAAACTTAAGAACACTCCTAACTTGACCTGACCTTTGTCTCTCATCTCCTTACCTCTTCACTCTCTTTATTTTCATTGTCTTTTCTTCTGTCCAGGTGAGTTTTGTCCTCTGGGGTTTTGTCCTCCAAGGGGATTTTGTTCTACGCCTGTGGGCCAGTAGCTCTCCTGCAGTGCTCCTCTATTCTCTTGCTCTTTTGGACTACCTCCACTATTGCTACTACTATTTCTTCACTAAAACCACACTTTCTGTCATTATTTTTGTTCTCTAGTCTTCCACTACTCCTAAAACCTCTTTTTGTTCTACCTCTACCTTAGCACTAGTAGTAGTGCACTACTACTGCTACCACTACTACTACTATTACTACCCCTACTACTACCCTCTCCTCCCGTTCTACCACTCCCTTTTCCCGCTCCCTCTCATATACATTCTGGCCTCTTGGTCTCCTAACTGAAGGTTAGTTGTGTATTGTTACTGTCATGATATTGTGAGTCTTTCTTCTTCAAGATAGAAAATGTTTCATAATTGTGAAAAAAAATTACACAATTTCCCCATAAAATGTTCAGAGAACAAATTTGGATTAAAATTATTATGATTTATATGTTTCTACATAATTTAGCATAAATTCTGTTATTTATATGCATTTTATATCTAAAATTTAAAACAAGACAGAAAGAAGAAACCTCAGACGCAGCTAAAACTGCTATGCAATAAAAACACGTATTTGATTTGATAATAATTCTTTATCATTTTTTTTAAATATGCAAAATGCATCCAAATTTATGACTTAGGGAACTTTTATTTTAATTTTGATTCTGGGGTTGTGGGGAAAGTGGCTAAGGAACAGCTTTAGTAGTGTGTGTGAGCTGAGAGGTGGAAGGTGGCGGAGGCAGTGTTAGTAGCGTCAGAGGTGAGAACTTCCTAAGTGCAAGGTGTTAGTAACGTCAGAGGTGAGAACTTCCTAAGTGCAAGGTGTTAGTAGCGTCAGAGGTGAGAACTTCCTAAGTGCAAAGTGTTAGTAGCGTCAGAGGTGAGAACTTCCTAAGTGCAAAGTGTTAGTAGCGTCAGAGGTGAGAACTTCCTAAGAGCAAAGTGTTAGTAGCGTCAGAGGTGAGAACTTCCTAAGAGCAAAGTGTTAGTAGCGTCAGAGGTGAGAACTTCCTAAGTGCAAAGTGTTGTTTGCGTCAGAGGTGAGAAACTTCCTAAGTGCAAAGTGGGTTTGTAGCGGGCAGAAGTGAGAACTTCTAAGTGCAAAGTGTTAGTAGCGTCAGAGGTGGAACTTCCTAAGTGCAAAAGTGTTTGTAGCGTCAAAAGGTGAGGGAAATTCCTAAGAGCAAAGTGTTAGTAGCGTCAGAGGTGAGAACTTCCTAAGTGCAAAGTGTTAGTAGCGTCAGAGGTGAGAACTTCCTAAGAGCAAAGTGTTAGTAGCGTCAGAGGTGAGAACTTCCTAAGTGCAAAGTGTTAGTAGCGTCAGAGGTGAGAACTTCCTAAGTGCAAAGTGTTAGTAGCGTCAGAGGTGAGAACTTCCTAAGTGCAAAGTGTTAGTAGCGTCAGAGGTGAGAACTTCCTAAGTGCAAAGTGTCAGTGCCGTCAGAGATGAGAACTTCCTAAGTGCAAAGTGTTAGTAGCGTCAGAGGTGAGAACTTCCTAAGTGCAAAGTGTTAGTAGCGTCAGAGGTGAGAACTTCTAAGTGCAAAGTGGGTTTGTTTGCGTCAGAGGTGAGAACTTCCTAAGAGCAAAGTGTTAGTAGCGTCAGAGGTGAGAACTTCCTAAGTGCAAAGTGTTAGTAGCGTCAGAGGTGAGAACTTCCTAAGTGCAAAGTGTTAGTAGCGTCAGAGGTGAGAACTTCCTAAGGGTTGAACATTTGTATAACTGTGTTGAGT